ATTACAAAGTGTCTGAGGGAACTATAAGACCTGCAGGGCATCTTCTCACAAACAATTAACAAATTGATTTTATTCATATGTGAGCACCTTGAGTAGATTCAAATTACTCATTTATCAAAGGACAGCTTCTTGTTTCAGCTACTTCTTTCACTTAGTCTAGAAGGGCAGAAAACATGAGAAATATTCTAGACTAAGTCTAGAATAATATAGACTTAGAAATGAACTCATGCAGTATGGTTCACAAAGTTCATTAATACAAAACAAATGACTTGTGATTGACAACCAGTCACAAGCAAGTAGTATTAACTTATGTCAGTATATTTAGAAGCACAATTTCACATTGGTGAAAGGCTATTAGTTGTCTGACACAATGTTCTAATACTACTTCAAAAGCAAGTGATGTTTCTTTTTAAATTCATGAAAGATTCACAAAAAAGGGAAAGAAAGAAGAATAAATAGTTGTACAGGCTCCAACTCAAGTGTCACCAAAAGCATGAGGCAAAGGTAACTAAATCAACTGACATACAATACCTACAAACAAACAAGCAACTGTCCTAATCACTATCTTTCTTGCAGGGAAAGTTTTGCTATGCACTGTATTGTTGCACAAAACGATGTTCTGACACAGGAAACTGCTGTTAATCCCTGCTAAAAATCTGTGCAAACCAAGTCAAACATATTTGAGCAATATTAGGCATCAAAACAGTGTTAAATATCAAAATATTAAGCTTACTTTAAAAATAGCAAAGCAGTAAGGTATGAAAAACAGGTTATACACACTGTAGGAGGTAGACCTGGAAGGCCACGTACCCCGATGATGGCATTCAGTTCAGCCATGGTCACTTGCTTAGCACGTTCTACAGCTTGGGCCACTTGCTGCTGATGCTATTAAAGTAAGAAGGGAGGCAGGGGGGAGGAATTTATGTTGAAGTATTGACCACACCAAATCATACTAAAATAAAAACAGGACCACAAATACTGGAATAATCAGTTTCTCTGTAGAGGTTCAAGCTATCTATTACAAGACACATCCTATGCAGGTAAGAAGAGTATCACTATATAGTTTATGAAAGAAGTTGCACAATGTTGAGAGAGAGAAATTGCTGACAAACTCGCACAAACCCTCCCTTCTGTGAGATCTGGGCCTAACTACAAGGGCTGAATAGCCTTAAAACTCAACTGCAAGGGTTATATAAACCCAGTGACCAAGTTTGGATTAAACGCCCTCGTGATGGGAACCCTATTAGAACCTCAAAGAGGCAAGGCCTGGAAAGTTGTATCAACAGAAGGAGTGATGCTCTACATACCTGAGAGGTGGATCCTCTCATGGGCATGTTTGATATGCCACTAACCTTTCTGGCTTGGACGTCTGCCCAAGACCTGTGTTCTTTCTTTTTTCCCCTTTCTAGACTCATGAATTGCATGTGGACTGACCCTCAGGACTATGCCGAACTGGAGCATCCACAAGGAGTGATTATTTCTTATTACTATAGTTTCATTGTTCTTTCTTCTTATGATTATTTGCAAGCCAAGGCTTTAAGGTCACTAGGTGGTGACACCTGACAGGATCAACGGTGTTCCAAAATTCACTTTTGGGGTGCTGTGTTCCCTGTTACCTCTGCCTTAGCATAACCCTTGTACTCCCATTGGAAATAGCATATGGGTTATGGTCCCATAATGCTGCTATACAAACCATGCAAGCAGTTGCCAAACAATCCAATCATTCTGATTGCTGGATCTGTGTCCAGGGCCCTAACTATTTGTTACAAGGACTCCCTTGGTTGGGGATTCCCCTGCCTCATAACACCTCTTGGGTAGGCCTGTGGACAAATACCACCTTTAATTTGACTTTCCCTAGTTCCTCTAACCCCTTGCCTCGCCCCATTATGATGCCTAAAGGGGGAAGGTATGCCAGGTGTGCATCCCAAAGCAGGAAAGGCAGCGATCTCAGGAAGAATTACACAGTCTTTGTTGGAAATTATACTGGATGCAATACCACCATGAATATGGGGTCTCTAGGACCATATTCCAGTTCTCCATGGCCCGTTCCTGAGGGCCAAGGTTGGTTCTGGCTGTGTAATACCACTGCATATAAGGCACTCCCTGAGGGATGGTGGGGCACCTCCACCCTGCGGGCTTTCATGCATTTGTGTGAGCCTTCGTGCCCTGGCTGGGAGTAGCTGACCTAGAAAAAGCAATTGTGAATCTCTCCATAACCATAGAAGTGATAGAAAACAGAACCATCGATGTCTTAACACTTTTAAATCAAAATATACATAATATTGGTCAAATTGCTGTACAGAATCGCTTTGCACTTGATTATTTGCTCGCCTCTCAAGGAGGAACGCGTGCCTTAATTAATGAAAGTTGCTGTTTTTATGTATGTGGATCATTCCCAACAAATCACTACTGATGTGTACCAGATAGCCAGACTCACTAAAGTTTTGCATACCGTCGGGGAGGACCATCCTCTTACCTTCCCAGACATTGCCTCAGGATTTCATGATGCACGGAACTGGCTGACATCCTGGATACGGAATTTGAGTCGATGGGCCAAACGAGTCTTGTTGCTATTAGGATTATTAATTTTAACAGTTGTTTGCGTGCTGCTACAAATGAGCATGCTTTGCTTTCAACATCTATTGATGACAGTGCACAGTCCCCAGTACACTGTGCTTACCAAAAAGCCGCCCACTGCGCACCAAGCGGAAGTTACTGGCTCCTGAAAATGAAAATGTGTGTGTCTGACGGTGTCAAGGGGTGGAGTGATAGGTGCCACACAGGCAAGCATGGGACTCAGGATGGTGCAGCCCGTAGAAGAGGGGCTTGCTCTGGGGGGCTCCCCAGGAGTTAACAAACCCCAGGTGCACCATGGCCAGAGCCACCACGCTGTGGGGTTGCCGTAGCCCTCCAGTGACCCCATGAGCACTGAGCAAGCCTAGTCAGCAAAGGGGAAGTGACACCGCAGACTCACATCATAAGCATCTAGGTACTGGGGAACTTTGCAGTTATCTGTTGAACATCCGTACTGCTATCCATTGATGTGTGTTGAACATCTGTACTGATATCTGTTGATATGTGTACTGTTATCTGTTGAACATGCATACTGATATCTGTTGGTATACGTACTGTTATCGACTGAGGCCATCTGTTCTATCGTGTAGCTGTGGTCTGGCATTGATCGATTGGATAATGAGCTAAGCCCAGGAAGGATAAAAGGAAGTAAGCCACATACCTCTGGTGTGGACTCGGACTCACCGTCAGCTGGCCTGCGGACCCGACAACCCACCCATCAGCGGGGACGCCCCTGATGCCAACTGCCAGGGAGAACCTGAATCCTCTTGGCGCAGCTCGAGCGCGGTGCGGGGGAAAACTATACCAGAGGGGTGGCCCATAAGGACAAGGAAAGGGCGAGAGCGGTCATTGCACCGTGCATCCGTGGCTTAACCATAGAGCTCTGATAGGTGTATTCTATTTTTAGCTCTTTACTATACTTTTTAGCTTTGTTATACTTGCAGATTGTCTGGTGTTAATTGTTTAGTGTTGTCCAGTGTCTGTCATACGTGTAGAACTGCTTAGCTCTAATAAATTCTCATATCTGACAAATGCTGCTCTCTCGAGTTCAGTGCAACTAACCCTGGGAGCCGAAAGAATCCCAGATGCCCCTCTAGTGGCGTGTCACAATCTCTCATCTGCTGTCCTCAGATATTTAGCAAGTATCCTCATTCACAAACATGTTTGGAAATTATTTTTGTTCTCTAATGAGTTTCTAAGGTTAGGTACTGATACACATTTCACCTAATCTTTCCTATCAGAAGTTGCAAGAGGTTGTTTTCAGTATTGAGAAAAAGCAAATTTCATGATCACTTTAAATATAAATCTGACTGTGCAAAAGACAATGAACTTTTCACCTTGCAAGGTGAAATCTCTTTGGAACAGAGGTCAACCCTAAATAGTTACAGCTAAAGGCAATCCTCCACATAAATGTATTATTTCCCATCCACAAACACTGCTACCAATACTCATGTTTTGCATGCACATTCCACACAATAACACTGTATTTAATATACTCCCTAATATTCATTTCACTGAAATATCCCAACGCAGCTACAAGAGTTGCACCCATCTTTTAAACACAAGGGAAAAAAAAAAAAAATCTGAAAACAGACTAGATCTACAGCAATATTCTTCTATACCCAAACATTGCAGGAGTTCTCAAATAATGTGACGAGGCTTAGATTTTGAAAACCAGAGGCTCAGTAGGAATTGCATAGGATGCTTTACTTCTCAACCCTCCTGCACTTCTTGCCCTTTCCTAAAGGTTTCAGCTTACATATGCACTATCATATAAAATTGAGAAGAATACTGTTACTGGGGCTAGATTTCAGGATTAATGATAGTCTACCTCTACCATGCAAGTGTTAATTTTTCATTAAAGAGTTCAGGAAGGAACTGAAGCAGGGATGTTCTTCATCCATGTACAAATGGTGAAGATTTTAAATTTAGATACAGACAGGATTAGCGTTACTAAAACACTATTCAGTCTCTACTGAGAAAAACTGCCATGACAATTCCTCTAAAAGTGAATTAGTTTCATTCTTCAAAGCAAAAACTTTTTTTGAAGGAGTCCAAGAGAACTTGGTTAATCAGGACTTATGCCACCAATTACTGATGTTTAGAATAAGCTATATTTTCCAGATTTGAGGCTTATGTTTGGTAGCAAAAAAAAATTAAAAAAGTTATCAGTTACTTCCAGACATCCTCCAATTTAACATAGTTATTATCTAACTGCTGATCTGAAGACATGGTAGGGCAGTCAGAAGAATGAGTAAACAAAGAATTCTGCAAACAGCTGCTTGAGTAGAGACAAACATGACTAATTGCCCATACTCTCTGACTCTCTGGTAAAGCAGGCTGCAGAAGCCTGCATCTCTCATGAAAGCCCTTGTAGCTCTATGGCAGCTCTTAGTAGAGCATCTCAAGTGTCCTTAATTGTTCATGTTCTTAATGCAGAGCCTCTTGAATACATTCATTTTTAATAGAGGACTTGAGCATGAGGCCTATCAAAGAATAACAAAACTGCTTCATTCACCGGTTCTTGCTGTTGCAGTGATTGTCTTTTGATTTATTTGCAAGTGACAAGTTTGTCAGATCCCTGACTGAAGTGCTACCCCCCTTTTTGAGGCATCATTAAAGATTAACATGAAAGAATTCAGCTGCATTTTGTAAGATGAAGAAACACAAATTGTTGACTCAACTTCACTTGTGTAACTTTTTGCCTTTGTTCCTTCCAATTAAGGACTTCAGTTTGGCAATGGTTAGGTCAAAACATTTACGTGTTTGTACTTAAGTTTGTCTTTTGCTAAAATGAATTCTTAACATAATGACAAAAAACAAAGCAGCCAAACCAGTTACTAAATATAAGATTCACTTACATAAGTCACTTCATATACAAGCTCTTTCTTAACTGCTCAATATACTTGTAACTACTTATTTTTCTTTTAAACAATGCACAGAAAAAGAGTATTACGGCTTTTTCCTTCACAGTAGTCTATTCCAGATCATTTTGCATTATGACAGCCTGTACTTTCCAAAGCACCATATAAGAACTCATACTTAAATCAACATGATTTCATAGGTAACTACCTATTTTTGTACTGGAATGAAGAACATGGAAGTATAATACAAGTACCCAAGTTTTAGCTACATTTCTCACCACACCTATCGCCCATGTATATTTTACCACCAATGCTGGAAGCCCAAGCCACTGGAGCCACTCTCTTCTCATGGAAGAATGCAACCTTCCTTGGAGAACTAGTCCATCACCCTTCAGCTTTAAAGATTTTAATTTTTTTCCTTCAATCAGCATCTACAATTTTTGTCAG